TCCCTCCCTCTTCACCTCTCCCTCCCTCCCTCTTCACCTCTCCCTCCCTCCCTCTTCACCTCTCCCTCCCTCCCTCTTCACCTCTCCCTCCCTCCCTCTTCACCTCTCCCTCCCTCCCTCTTCACCTCTCCCTCCCTCCCTCTTCACCTCTCCCTCCTCCCTCTTCACCTCCTCCCTCTCACCCTCCTCTTCACCCCTCCCTCCCTCTTCACCCCTCCTCCCTCTTCACCCTCCCTCCCTCTTCACCCCTCCCTCCCTCTTCACCCCTCCCTCCCTCTTCACCCCTCCCTCCCTCTTCACCCCTCCCTCCCTCTTCACCCCTCCCTCCCTCTTCACCTCTCCCTCCCTCCCTCTTCACCTCTCCCTCCCTCCCTCTTCACCTCTCCCTCCCTCCCTCTTCACCTCTCCCTCCCTCCCTCTTCACCTCTCCCTCCCTCCCTCTTCACCCCTCCCTCCCTCTTCACCCCTCCCTCCCTCTTCACCCCCTCCCTCCCTCTTCACCCCTCCCTCCCTCTTCACCCCTCCCTCCCTCTTCACCCCTCCCTCCCTCTTCACCCCTCCCTCCCTCTTCACCCCTCCCTCCCTCTTCACCCCTCCCTCCCTCTTCACCCCTCCCTCCCTCTTCACCCCTCCCTCCCTCTTCACCCCTCCCTCCCTCTTCACCCCTCCCTCCCTCTTCACCCCTCCCTCCCTCTTCACCCCTCCCTCCCTCTTCACCCCTCCCTCCCTCTTCACCCCTCCCTCCCTCTTCACCTCTCCCTCCCTCTTCACCTCTCCCTCCCTCTTCACCTCTCCCTCCCTCCCTCTTCACCTCTCCCTCCCTCCCTCTTCACCTCTCCCTCCTCCTCTTCACCTCTCCCTCCCTCCCTCTTCACCTCTCCCTCCCTCCCTCTTCACCTCTCCCTCCCTCCCTCTTCACCTCTCCCTCCCTCCCTCTTCACCTCTCCCTCCCTCCCTCTTCACCTCTCCCTCCCTCCCTCTTCACCTCTCCCTCCCTCCCTCTTCACCTCTCCCTCCCTCCCTCTTCACCTCTCCCTCCCTCCCTCTTCACCTCTCCCTCCCTCCCTCTTCACCTCTCCCTCCCTCCCTCTTCACCTCTCCCTCCCTCCCTCTTCACCTCTCCCTCCCTCCCTCTTCACCTCTCCCTCCCTCCCTCTTCACCTCTCCCTCCCTCCCTCTTCACCTCTCCCTCCCTCCCTCTTCACCTCTCCCTCCCTCCCTCTTCACCTCTCCCTCCCTCCCTCTTCACCTCTCCCTCCCTCCCTCTTCACCTCTCCCTCCCTCCCTCTTCACCTCTCCCTCCCTCCCTCTTCACCTCTCCCTCCCTCCCTCTTCACCTCTCCCTCCCTCCCTCTTCACCTCTCCCTCCCTCCCTCTTCACCTCTCCCTCCCTCCCTCTTCACCCCTCCCTCCCTCTTCACCCCTCCCTCCCTCTTCACCCTCCCTCCCTCTTCACCCCTCCCTCCCTCTTCACCCCTCCCTCCCTCTTCACCCCTCCCTCCCTCTTCACCCCTCCCTCCCTCTTCACCCCTCCCTCCCTCTTCACCCCCTCCCTCCCTCTTCACCTCTCCCTCCCTCCCTCTTCACCTCTCCCTCCCTCCCTCTTCACCTCTCCCTCCCTCCCTCTTCACCTCTCCCTCCCTCCCTCTTCACCTCTCCCTCCCTCCCTCTTCACCTCTCCCTCCCTCCCTCTTCACCTCTCCCTCCCTCCCTCTTCACCTCTCCCTCCCTCCCTCTTCACCTCTCCCTCCCTCCCTCTTCACCTCTCCCTCCCTCCCTCTTCACCTCTCCCTCCCTCCCTCTTCACCTCTCCCTCCCTCCCTCTTCACCTCTCCCTCCCTCCCTCTTCACCTCTCCCTCCCTCCCTCTTCACCTCTCCCTCCCTCCCTCTTCACCTCTCCCTCCCTCCCTCTTCACCTCTCCCTCCCTCCCTCTTCACCTCTCCCTCCCTCCCTCTTCACCTCTCCCTCCCTCCCTCTTCACCTCTCCCTCCCTCCCTCTTCACCTCTCCCTCCCTCCCTCTTCACCTCTCCCTCCCTCCCTCTTCACCTCTCCCTCCCTCCCTCTTCACCTCTCCCTCCCTCCCTCCCTCCCTCCCTCCCTCCTCCCTCCCTCCCTCCCTCCCTCCCTCCCTCCCTCCCTCCGTCCCTCACTCCCTCCCTTTCTTACGCACTCTCCCTCCCCCCCTCTCCAACTCAAATGTTCTTCTCTCCCCACCCCTCCCTCCCTGCCCGCCAGTTGTGCGACCTCTCCTCCCTCGCTCAAGTGCGCTCCCTCGCGGATCGGCTAGCGGGGCTAGACACGCCAATTCACGTGCTGGTGAACAACGCTGGCGTGATGGAGAACGAAAAGAAGATGTCGCCTGATGGGTGAGTATTGAGACGTCTCAAACCTCCATGGGTGAGTGTAGGGCCGATCTTTCGCGGATCGGCTAGCAGGGCTAGACTCGCCCATGCACGTGCTGGTGAACAACGCTGGGATCATGGAGAACGAAAAGAAGATGTCGCCCGATGGGTGAGTGAGTGAGGGTCACTGTGAGAGGGTGTGAGTGAGAGTGGCACTATGGGGAGATTCACATGACACGCCCATTCACGTGCTGGTGAACAACGCTGGGGTGATGGAGCATGAAAAGAAGATGTCGCCCGATGGGTGAGTGGGAGTGTTCACTGTGAGAGGGCCATTGTGAGTGTGGCCGTATGGGAGCATCGACGAGACTCGCCCATGCATGTGCTGGTGAACCACACTGGGGTGATTGAGCATGAGAGTGATGGAGCATGAGCATGAGTGATGGAGCATGAAAAGAAGATGTTGCCTGATGGGTGAGTGTGAGAGGGTCACTGTAAGCGGGCGTGGGAGTGGCAGTATGGGAAATTTTAAATGTCTCGCACCGTGCTGGTGAGCAACGCTGGGATGATGGAGCATGAGAGGAAAACGCCGTTCTATGAGTCTTCCCTTTCAACTCCCACTTCCCACTTCTCTGTTCCATCCGCTCTTCCCAGTTTTGTCTTCCTTAATTCTTATCTTCGTTCTGCCATCTTCCCTCTTCCCCCTTACCCCTCCAGATTTGAACTCAACTTTGCAGTAAACGTGCTAGGAACTTTTGTACTGACCGAAGCCCTGCTGCCCCTGCTGAAACGGGCTGCCCCCGAAGCAAAAGTTATCACCGTGGCAACAGGGGGCATTCTCACTCAACCGCTCAGCACCGATCTGCAAATGGAAAACACCAAGTTCGATGGGACTGACGCATATGCGCGCAACAAGCGAGTGCAGGTGTGTGTGATTGTTAGTGTGAGACTGTGAGTGGGGAAGAGGGCGAGCATTGTGAGAATTACCTTCTGCCATCATTGACTATCTCATGCCCACTACTTGTTTTCACACATTTCAGTCCCATTTAGTCACTTTTCAACCAGCCAGAATTCATGCAAGTAAATTCATTGTCCATGAATCCCCTACAGGTGGCTTTAACAGAGAAGTGGGCGGAGCTATATGGGGTACAGCCGGGGGGGGTGGGGTTCTACTCCATGCACCCGGGGTGGGTCGACACGGCCGTCCTTCAAACCAGCATGCCAGGATTCTACAACACGTGAGCTCTAGAGTCAAAGCATGTGTGCGTGCGCTGCATGCATTTCTTTCATGCATGTGTGCGTCCTTCAAACCAGCATGCCTGGATTCTACGACACGTGAGCCCTCAGTGACTCGTGTCTGTCTGTCCTCCCTCGTGAGCGACGTGTGTGGCCCTCGTGTGGGCATGCCTGGCTGTTCAACATTTTTGAGGCACCTCAAAATAACTTTTGAGGCGCCTTTTGAGGACTTTTGAGGTGCCTCAAAAGACGACGTGTGTGGCCCTCGTGTGGGCATGCCTGGCTGTTCAACACGTGAGCCCTTGAATCTAGCTATGGTTCTTGCTCGCGTACGTGTTTCATGTGCTCCCTCATTTACTCCCTCGTGTGTGCACCCCTCGCGGTTGAGTGCGTGTGCTGCATGTGTCTCCCCTCCTGTGGGGACATGCAGGGTTTCTGCAACACGGGAATCTTTGAAACAGTACCTGTATGTGTACACCGAACGCGCTTGGTTGAGTGCTTGTGCTGCGTGTGTCTCCTCTCGCATGCCTCCCCTCACGTGTCTCCTCTCATTCGTGTTCCATCTTCCCCTCTCTAACCCCCTTTTATGCTCATCCTCCCTCCCCCCCCCAGGTTCAAGGCCTCACTGAGAAGGCCAGAGGAAGGGGCGGACACCATAGTGTGGCTGGCAAGTCAACCCGAGTCAAAGCTGGTCAACGGGGGCTTCTACTTTGACCGTCAGGTTGCTTCCAAGCACCTTCCTTTTGCAGGCACGGAGTACAAGAAGGAAGTTGTGGATGAGATCTACAGCAAGCTGAAGGAGCTCGCTAAAATTACAAAAGAATAGTGCATGACCCAATGAAAATATATATGCGACATGTCGCATCTGTTATTTGTAATATATCTTTTGCGCTGTACGTAATGGGATTATCTCATCTGTCATTTGTTGTATATCCTTTGCGCACACTTGTGTTTGCAAACACCACAACTTTATGGCGCACATCTGGGTTTTTTCCGTTACCATTTTCAAATGCATCGGGTGCAGCTGAAACAGTGGTAGTGTAAATGAATCATGCATAATTAAACTCAACAGATGAACCACATAAAAACCATTCCAATCCTCGGTGCAGCGCCAAACAAGTTACAGTACTAAGCAAGCATTTTTTAGTATCAGAATTGCTACCAGTGAGCACCAGGGCTGATATACAGCAGCTCGATTACTTGCTTGCTACGTATCCTGAACAGGCACTCAAGCCTGCCACGTCACACAGTAAGCCGCACTACATCATGCACCACAGCACACCGCACCGCAGAGCACTCCACACAGCACAGCGCTGCACCGCACCGTATGGTACTCTCACAGTGTCACGTTAACACCTCGATTCTCAGCAACATCTCCTGAACAGGCCCTCCAGCCTGCCACGTCACACCGTATGTGCACTACATCCCGCACCGCAGAGCACGCCGCGCCGCACCACACACACTGCACCGCACCACACACACTGCACCGCACCACACACACTGCACCGCACCACACACACTGCACCGCACCACACACACTGCACCGCACCATATGCAGACAGCATATATGCAGCCGTCATTCGCATGACCCGTCTCCCAGACTTCCCGTGTGCTCCTGCTGCTGCCTGTAGCAGCAGAGCAGCTGCTGCTTCTGGTGCCGGTGGTGCTGCTGGCAAACTGGTGCTCACTGGATTGGCTTTAAGTTCACAATTTACTCTCCAATCAATCCTGGGCGCTCCACGGGCCCTGCCACTCCATGAATTCTTTGAGGCGCCTCAGAAGCTGCCAGTCATCTGTTAGAGCGCTTCAAAAGCTGCCACTGCAGGCACGTCTGTTGTTGCTGATGCAAGCTCTCATCCCGTGAAACTCATTCTGCTGCTGACAGTGTTAGGTCGACTCTCAAGGAATGGGGCTTAGGCTTGCTGTTTCTGTGTTAACCAAGGGTGAAGCCGGGGTAACCCTGCCCGAATCTGGTTCAGCTACTGGAATCCCTCGTGCACCTGTTGCGGCTGATGTGGTGCCAATGGTTGCAGCAACAGCAGCCACTGCTGCAACCCTTGCTGCAGCTGTAGCAGCTGCAGCAGCTGCAGTGCCACTGGAAGCTGCAGCAGAGGCAGCAGCTGCGTGAGCAGAGGCAGTGGCAGCAGATGCAGCAACGGGAACAGCAGGAGAAGCAGACGCAGCAGCAGCACGAGCAGCGGCAGGAGTAGAAGCAGAGAGAGTAGGAGCAGTAGCAGAAGCAGCTGGCAGCATGGCGATAGTCACAACAGCATAAGGAGCACCAGGAGCCAACCCATACGGACAAGCCTTGCAAGTGGCTGTGCCGGTGCTAGTGCTGCTGCTGCTGTCCCTGCTGCTTCTGCCACTACCACCAACTTCTCCACCAGCACTGTCAGCAGCAGCAGCAGCACTGCCGACACTAGCACTGGCATCCTCGCCACCACCATCAGCACCACCATCAGCAGCACCATCAGCAGCACCATCAGCAGCACCATCAGCAGCACCATCAGCACCACCATCAGCACCACCATCGGCAGCAGCAGCAGCAGCGGGGGCAGTGCTGGGAGCGCTCTCAAACGAAGCGACCTTGCGTTCAATGTGCACAATGCGACCGACAATAACAGGGTAAAGAACGTGACTTGCCACGTGAGCTGGAACGTGACTTGCCACGTGACTCGGCACGTGAGCTGGAACGTGACTTGCCACGTGAGCTGGAACGTGACTTGCCACGTGACTCGGCACGTGAGCTGGAACGTGACTTGCCACGTGAGCTGGAACGTGACTTGCCACGTGACTCGGCACGTGAGCTGGAACGTGACTTGCCACGTGAGCTGGAACGTGACTTGCCACGTGACTCGGCACGTGAGCTGGAACGTGACTTGCCACGTGAGCTGGAACGTGACTTGCCACGTGACTCGGCACGTGAGCTGGAACGTGACTTGCCACGTGAGCTGGAACGTGACTTGCCACGTGAGCTGGAACGTGACTTGCCACGTGAGCTGGAACGTGACTTGCCACGTGACTCGGCACGTGAGCTGGAACGTGACTTGCCACGTGAGCTGGAACGTGACTTGCCACGTGACTTGCCACGTGAGCTGGAACGTGACTTGCCACGTGAGCTGGAACGTGACTTGCCACGTGAGCTGGAACGTGACTTGGCACGTGAGCTGGAACGTGACTTGGCACGTGAGCTGGAACGTGACTTGGCACGTGAGCTGGAACGTGACTTGGCACGTGAGCTGGAACGTGACTTGGCACGTGAGCTGGAACGTGACTTGGCACGTGAGCTGGAACGTGACTTGGCACGTGAGCTGGAACGTGACTTGGCACGTGAGCTGGAACGTGACTTGGCACGTGTTCCTCTTCCCCCTCCTGCCCCACCTGCTGCTGTTTCTGCACGTGCCCTTGTCCCTGCCCCAGACCCCCCTGCCCCTGGCCTTGCTGTCCCTGATGCTGCAGCTGCTGCTGTTGCAGGAAGAGTGCGAGGGAGTGAGGGGAGAGGAAGAGAGGCACAGCAGCGGCGTCGGGCGAGCAGAGTGCGCGGTAGTGGCAACCACCCCTCCCCCCCACGGGCACAAAGGCAGCAATGTCGTGCGAGTGGAAGCGAGTGAATGCTACCCTCTCACGCGCGATCTGTACAGACCATAAGAAAGGGGAGGGGGGAAGGGGGAGGGGGGAAGGGGGAGGGGGGAAGGGGGAGGGGGGAAGGGGGAGTGGGTGATACAACTGGGGCGAGCAGAGCGTGCGGTAGTGACGGCCGCCCCTCCCCACGGGCACAAAGGCAGCAATGTCGTGTGAGTGGAAGCGTGTGAAGGCAATCCTCTCAAGCGCAATCTGTTGGTGTGAGTGAAAGGAGGGCGGAGGGGAGCTGTGAGGGGTGAGCAAGGTAGGAGGTGGGATTAAAGTGGGTGCTCAACCCTTGCCAGATGAACAAACACCGCGGGGACGAGAGGGATGACAGAGGTTAGGGTCTCTAGACGTGGCAGAAATTTGTTAGAATTCTCAACGGCAGGGTCTCTTGACGTGGTTAGGGTCTCTTGACGTTGCAGGGATTTTAAAATCCCTGCAACGTCGAGGAAGAGGGGGATGACAGAGGTTAGGGTTTCTTGACGTGATAGGAAAGGGGAAGCAGTGGGGGCGGTGTTGTTCTCACCTGTTTATCTCTCACCCCTCCTCTGTTTCCCCCTCACACTTCACCTATTGGACCATTAGCATTACAACCTTCACCCCTCACCTGTTTCACCAGCTCGTGCTTGGAAGACATATCCACCAGTGCATCTGACGTTCGCTGCAGCTGGTTAACACAACACGCGCCTCACCTCTTCACCCCCCACCACCGACCTGTCCTCCCCTCATTTCCCTCACCTGTTTCACCAGCTTGTGCTTGGAAGACATGTCCACCAGCGCGTCTGACGTGCGCTGCAGCTGCCTTGCCGGGCGACCGTCCCTTCACCTGGTGAGTACAAGCCAGATTACAATTCCCACCCCTCACCTGTTTCACCAGCTCGTGCTTGGAAGACATGTCAACCAGCGCATCTGACGTTCTCTGCAGCTGCCGGGCCAGGCGGTGCGCGTCCCCCTCCGCCCGGCGCCCTCGCTCCACCACCCGCCCCACCGCCCTCACCGCCGCCCATTTTGACCCTCACCCCTCACCTGCTTGGCCCCCTGTTTCTTTCCCACCCTGCACCTCTTGGCCACAAGGCAGTATAAAAACCCTCACCTGCTTCACCCTCACCTGCTTCACCCTCACCTGCTTCACCCTCACCTGCTTCACCCTCATCTGTTTCACCAGCTCGTGCTTTGAAGACATGTCCACGAGTGCATCTGACGTTCGCTGCAGCTGCCGTGCCAGGCAGTGGGCGTCCCCCTCCGCCCTGTTGATTACCAGCCAGCACAACACCCCTCACCTGATCATTTCACCCCTCACCTGTTTCACCAATTCATGCTTTGAAGACATATCCACCAGCGCATCAGACGTTCGCTGCAGCTGCCGTGCCAGGCGGTGGGCGTCCCCCTCTGCCCTGCGCCCTCGCTCCACCACTCTCCCCACGCCCACCGCCACTGCTCTCACCGCTGCCACCACCCACTCCTCTGCTGCCGGGACAGCAGGGGCAGCAGCTGAAGCAGACGGCGCAGCAGCAGCACCTGCGCTGCTGCTCATGCTGCTCATGCTGCTCATGCTGCTCATGCTGCTCATGCTGCCCATGCCGCTAGCAGGGCCGCCCATAGCAGGATTGCCTGTAGCGAGAACAGCACTCCTGCTCAGGTCCAAAGCAGACCCAGCAGCGGCCGCTGCAGCCGCAGCAGCTCCTGCTGCTCCTGCCCCTCCACCCACACCACCCGTTGCCTCCCCCAGCGAGTCAGCTAAACCACTAAGCCCCTCGACCACAGCCCCAAGGCTGTTTGCTTGCAGGCATCGGTTGATTCGCTCCATCAGCCCTCTCAGCCGCACCGCTGCCGCCCGCAACCCGCCGCTCTCCGCCGCCCGCCGGTCCGCGGCACAGCGAAGCGTGCGCGCCTCACTCCTTGCCTCGTGCAGCCGGGTTTCCAGATCGGTGCACTTGCGCTGCCACTCTGCTATCTCAGTGCTTTTGAGCACACGTCCCTCAATCCTCTCCTCGCTCTGTGCTTCAGTCCTCGCTGCGCTCCTAGCTGCATGCAGCCGGTTCTCCAGGTGGGCGCAGTTGAGCTGGCATTCTGCCAGCATGGCGGCTTTCCTCCGCAGCGCCTCCTCCAATGCTGCCACCTGTCTCGCCACGTCACAGCCCTGCCCGGGTGAGGTGGCAGTCGACTCCTCTGCTGCTGCTGCGTGTCTCTCCACGTCACTGCCCTGCCAACCCAATCCCGCATCAGCATCCAAACCAGCTGTTACACCATCCTTCCTTTCCCTGGTTCCTCCCGTTCCTGCTGCTGCCCCTTCAACTCCAACCCTTTCCACCGCTCCCCACCTCTTCATCACCAGCTGCTGCAGCTGCACCGACCCACCGGCCTTTTCCTCCAGCTCGGCAAGTCTTCCCACCGCCACCTCAGCAGCCGCCAGGTCAGCGGCCAGCCTTGCCAGCTCAGCATCCTTCTGTTCCACGTCAGCTTCGAGATCCGCCACTCTGGCAGCCTCACGCCTCTGCTGCTGACTAACCTGTTCCAGCTCCTGCTGTAGCACCTCCAGCCGCCCCTGATTCCGCTCACGCTCTACTATACACAGACTCAATTCCTCTTTACAAGCACTAAACTCGAGAGTAATATTATTAATATCTACAGTGCGGGCGTCCAGCTCAGCGCTGCGCTCGCTCAGCAGCGCCTCGAGCCGTGCTGACTCATCCCGGGCCTCTGCCAGCTGGGATTCGGCGGCTGCCAGCCTGGCTTCCGCCGCGGTGAGCTTCGATTGGATGGTGGCCAGATTTGATTCTCCTGCAGACAGATTTGATTGAGCTGCGGATAGCTGCGATTCTGTCGCAGTGAGCTTGGATTGCAACGACTGCAGCTCACTCAACGTGGCTTGCACCTCCTCTTGCTCACCTGCAGGGATATCATGTGCGAACGACGGGACCTGGACACCTGCCACCTCTCTCCTTCTCTCCTCCTCACTCATCCTCTCCACCTCTCTCCTTCTCTCCTCCTCACTCATCCTCTCCACCTCACTCTCACTCTCTCCCACCTGTTTCCCTCTCTCCCGCATCGCCCTCTTCTCCTCCGGTGCACCCTCCTCCTCTGAAGTCCTATCTTGTTTCACCACTGTACCAAGCTCTCCACCCATATCTCTATTACCTCTAGAAATATCTCTGGAAATATCTCGGCTCATATCGCCCAGCATCCCTTCCAGCTCTCTGATTCGCCGCTCGTACGCCTGCACCTGCGCCTGCCTATCACGCAGCGCCACCTGTACGTGCCGCACCACCTGCCCCCTCAGCTGCAGCGCCTGCACCAGCTGCTGCCACTCTGCCACGTGCCCCCCTCCTTCTTCCCCACCACCACATGCACCTTCACCTGCAGCAGACCCCACCGCAAATAAAACCCCTCCAGATAAGCCTACCCCAGATGAGCCGCCCCCAGCAGCACCCACCCCAACTGCTCCCAGCACTCTGAGCGCAATCAGCTCCGCCCTGAGCCGCATGTTATCCACTGCTAGCTCTTCTGCGCTCCTGCCGCCCGCCACGTCATCGTTTGAGTGGCTTACATCAGCGTCCTCGTCGTCCACGTCAGCATGGTGCTGCTGCCGGTGCTGGTGGTGGTGATGGTGAGAGGGGAAGGTGGTGCCGGCAGTGACATCCTCATTATAGTCATGTGCGATACTACTATTGACATTCGCCCCTGTTTTGGAATCACTAGCAAGCGCACTCCATTGGCCGATAAACGCACTCCCTCCCCACATGCTCTCCCCCCCTACACTCCCTCTCCTCCTCCCCTTCCCCCCCCACCCAGCCCCTCCCCCTGCCCCTCTCGTTCCAACCTCCCCAACACCCCCTCCCCCGCTCCCCCTCCCCTTCCCACGCCATCTCCCCCATTCCTCCCCCACCCTCCTCCCACACCATCCCCTCCTCCTCCCCCTCCCCCGTTCCCCCCTCCCCGCCCTCCCCTTCCCCCTCCTCCCCCCACACGGGCAAACCCCCCTCCCCCACACTCACCAACCTTTCATCAAACGGCGCCACACTCACAGTACACACACTAGGCACGTTCCCCTGCCCCAAGCCCATTCCCTCTATCACCACCCGAGGCACCAACCCCAACTCTCCCTGCCGCTGCCAAAACCTCTCTCTTCTCTCCACCTCCTCCTCTCTCACTCTCGCCATCTCCTCTGCTACCTGCTGTGCCCGGCCCATATACCCCATCCCAAACCCTTTTCTGCGGGCAATTTCCCCCAAACAATCCGCGTAAGCCCCTCTTAAAGCCCGGGTGGAGGCGAGGAGCGAGAAGAGCGCGTCTTGGCGGGAAATGGCTTCTCGAAAGGCGTGCAGGCGGTTTCGGAATCCACGAACCCGGGACTGCCACCTGGCGACAGCCTGCATGTGCGTGTGGACGAGATTCGTCATCGCAATCTTGCTGGCGCGTGCTGATTGGACGAGGGATGCCAGGTGCGAATCGATGGCTGAGATTCGCGGGAGGAGTGAGGTGGAATGGACGGTGCAGATTGGGTCTAGGGCAGCGACGGGGAGGTGGCGGGAAGGGGAGGCGGAGGGGGAGAAGGAAGGGGAGGAGGAGGAGGAGTGGGTGACTGAGAGAGTGCAATCGTGTAGCAGCTGCCTCACTGTGTTTAGATCCTTGCTGGGGTTGGATAGGAGATGAGAGAGGGGGAAGGACGAAGGACAGAGGGGGAGACATGGCGCATGAGAGAGTGCGGTCGTGGGGAGCTGCCACACTGTGTTATAGTCATTGCTGGGGGAAGGAGGGAAAGGGGAGGGGAGGAAGGATAGGATGGGACAACTGAACCCAGCACAGCTCAACTCAACAACTGAACCCAGCACAGCTCAACTCACCCCAGAACGCCAAGGATGACTTCTTGCTCCTCCAGCAACCGATGCCCCTCCTCCACCATCCCCTCCACTTCCCGCACCACCTCCGCCTCCCTCCGCCGCCCTTCCGCGCCCGCGCCCGCACCCGCGCCCGCGTGTGCGCCCGCGGCCCCTGTAGCAGCATCAGTCCCAAGTCCGCTGACTGCGGTTGCTACGCTTCCCCCTCCCCCCGCGCCTATCAGCTCGTCAATCCCCGCCCGCGTGTCCTCAAACTGCTGTTCCAGCTCAGCGACCTTCGTGGCCATCTGAGCGTGCGCCACGTGGCACTCCGAGAACGCCTGCTGCAGCTGCGGCTCCTTCGCCAGCTGCACGAGGCTCTGCCACCCGGTTGCCGCCCGGACGGGCGCCAGTAAACGACAAGAGTGCAACGCGCGGAGGTTCCGGTGGAAGGTTCGCAGAAGGAGCTCGTGCCGGCAGTGCTGTTGCTTATACGTGGACTGGAAATCCGCAAACGATGTGACTATATGGAGGGCCATAGCTTCCATGCTGGCAGATCCGGAACGGACGGCTTCTGCTTGCGTGTGCTGCTCCTGAAGGAGCCGCCGACACGTGTCGAAACGCGATTGGCTGGCGGCGAGATACGCCTGAGCCTGTAACAGATCCTGACGGAACTGCCGTTCGTACGACGGGATGGCTCGGAGGAGCGGGTTACCCGACCGGTCTAACGGATGTAACGGTTCGCCGCCGGGCTCACCCACCGTTATAATCACTTCTGGTACAATCATCTCCTCGATTTCTTCTACCGCGGGAGGAGGAGATTTCGGAAGGAGGCGCATCTTATTGAAAAGAAACACTGGGCGGGAGTGTCCGTGAGACGCGGAACGCGAGTGTGCGTCGACCGCGCCTGCTGTGTCATGAGTGCTGCCGTCCACGTCAGCATCTGGAAGCTGATACGCTCCGAGGTTTCGTCCGGGTTCGAGGCGCACGTCGCGGCAGATTAAGAGCTGGTCCTGAGGAGGTATGGCGGTTAGGGAGGCGAGAGTGTCGCAGACGGAATCCACAGGCGTGTCCGCGCCGCAGTGCAGCTCGAACGACCTACCGCTCTCTGCCACGTGTACCAGCAACATGGCGGCTCGACTATTTTTGCGACGTGTCAAAGTATTATATAATATCTATACATAATAAGTACTCTGAATAAAGTCGCCGAGGGCTAGCCCGAAGATTCGCAGCTGGAAGCAACAACAACGAAACACGTAACTGGCTTACGACATATATCGCCAGTTCGGAGCACTACGTAGCAGTCGAAGGTTCAATCCACGCCGTCGATTGTCATTCCTCTCGTGGAGCTGGCTGCTGGGGAAGTGGACTCTTGATTGTGTGCATACATACTCGCATGATTGGGGAAGCAATGGCGGCTGCGTTCTACCTGAACGCAAGAAGCCGTCGATGAACATATAAACTGCATCCAAAAGTCTTTGCATACCAGTATTATTAGAAGGTTAAGCAGGGTAAGATAGAATATAGAATGATATAGTAGGGTGGAAGTCCGAACCAGAGCAAGCCAAAAACGATGAACCGAGCTTCTCATGTGGAAGTTCCAAGGGAGGCTCCGAACGATGAATCCAGCCTGCAGTGAAGCCTCGGCCGAGCGTAACACTCGCTCTTTGTGATTCGTCCCCGCAAATTCAAGGTCACACTGGTCATTCTGTCTGCCAGGTAGCACTATTGTGGCTTGGTCTTACTTGATTATGAGACGTTCGGAACCAATGAGAAAGACCAAGGCTTGTGGTTTGATGGCTTGGTAGTGTGTGGTGAACCTCTTGTCTTGCCACGGCGTAATGGTCTTACTCTGCAGACGTGAGGTTCACGGAAGTTGACGTGTCAGTTGTTACACGTTGAGCTCTTGCTGGCGGGCATATTTCGTCAGTCTTCGTCGCGAACTTCGAGACCCAAATTTGTCCTATCACTAGTCAGAAGCAAGAGCAGCGACACGTCAGAAAGAACCCTTGTGTGGTGAGCAGGAGCAGGAGCAGGACGCTGAGTGGCAAGCAAATGTACAGCACCTTGATTGGACAAGCTCCTTCGACCAATCGATGAGCTGCAGCTCCAGGGGGCTAGACAAACATTCGACAACGACGAATCCACTAAACTTTTTGCTGCAATAAATCAACTAGGTCATCCATGACTCTCCTTACAAATTATTGCTTCCACCACAGCTAACAATAGCAAGTGTGTGCCACCAGCCACACATGGCATCTTGCACATACACATTATGCTCGTAATGCCGTCTTCTACTACCAATGCTAGCATTGTCGCCAGACAAATATTGGTGACACTTCTTCATGGAAACCATATGAGGGGAATGAGTGTCGTTCATATGGCCAATTCCCAGCTGGCATCACCACAAAAATGAGAAGGAAGTCGTTGCAACGCAGATAGAGATCACACGAAACATGGACATGAATCATAAGCTTGCTGTGATTTTCGATACAAATAGCATGTGCATGGGTTCCACACATGGGTGGGTGTACCATGCAAGTTGATATCAAAGCATGCATGTTGGATTTGATGCACAATAATTGGCTGCAAGGCGAGACAAACATCAATTCTACGAAGGGTTATATGCATGGAAGCGAAGTTGAAACCCAAAACCATGAAGTTGACGTTTGATGCATGAGAAAGTGTGCCACGCACACTTGCCCGAACTTGTTGGAACCCCAGACAAGAAGAGGACCATTGGTGGTGAGAGCAGAGTTGTGAGGCATCTCAAAACATACATACCTGCCCAAACTGGTTGGAGCCCCAGACGAACAGAGCACCATCAGTGGTCACAGCAGAGTTTCGAGGCATCTCAAAACACACACACACACACACACACACACCTGCCCGAACTTGTTGGAACCCCAAACGAAAAGAGCACCATCGGTGGTGACAGCAACTGAGTGCCGCGCTCCACAGGAGATGGCTTTCAGCGAACGATTGTCCAGATTCGGAGAATCTATTAGCGTTGGAAACACCTGACAGGGCAACAGGTGTAGGCACACAAACACACAGATACACGAGAAGAACGAATAGAGACAGCGAGTCAGCGACACGCGATAGGGGAAACAGACGATATGCACAAACAAGAGAAGACATGTGACACACACGCAAGAACATGACAGCAACAACAAGAACATTAAGCCACACGCTGGTAATGATTTTTTAGGCGCGTAAAAAAACATTAAGACGTTCACGCAGGCCGGTAATGCTGGTTTGGGAAAGGTGGTGGCTCACACCTTAGCTGCCGTGTCTCCAGTGCCCAGCTGGCCAAACTGATTGCCTCCCCAGCTGTACACGTCACCCCCTTCCAGTTCCACATCAGCATTGCCAACCTCCACGTCAGCATCACCACCGGCACCACAACCAGTAGCGGCACCACGGTTGCTGATCGAACCAGCGGGGAGGGCGAGGGCAAGAGAGTGCCAGAGACCAGCAGCAATGGCTGTTACTGAGAGGGCGGCAAAGGAGGTGAGGCAGGTGGGGGAGAGATGGTCGTCTGATGTGCCGTGGCCACACTGGGGGAGCGGGAGTGGCAGGGGTAGTCGGGGGTGAAAATGGGTGAGACATGGTCAGCAGCGGCAGCAGCAGCAGCGGCAGCGGCGGCGGCGGCGGCGGCGACAGCAACAACAGCAGCATAAGCAGGTCCGGGGAAAGTAGATTGTGGGAAGCAGAATGGCGGGAGAGGAGGTTGTGTGCTGTGCAGGCATGGCGTAGCTTCCTGCAGCGCTATGAATGGCACCTGCCCACCCACCCACCTACCTGCCCATACTGTCCCCATCCAAAGGAGAAAAGCGAGCCATCCTCTGCCATGGCAGGAAAGGAGAGGAGGCGGGCAGCACAAGGCATGGCATGCAACCCAGGCTATGGATGGCGCATCCACCTACCTGCCCATACTGCCCCCATCCAAAGGAGAAAAGCGAGCCATCCTCTGCCATGGCACAGCGAGGAGAGGAGGCGGGCATGGCGGAGGTGGAGGCGGAGGGGGGGTAGGGGGTGGTGGAAGGAGGAGGGGCACGGGGGAGGGGGAGGAGAGCGGGAGGGGCATGCATACCTGCCCATACTGGCCCCATCCAAAGGAGAAAAGCGAGCCATCCTCTGCCATGGCAGGAGAGGAGACACAGGAGAGGGGGAGGCGGAGGCGGAAGGGGAGAAAGGGGAAGGGGAGAAAGGGGAAGGGGAAGGGGGAGGGGGAGGGAGAAGCGGTGGGAGAGGGGGAGGGGAAGGGTGTGTGTGTGCGAGGGGGAGGGGGAGGGAAAGGAACAAGCAGAAAAGAACGCTCCGGGACATGTGCGTGTGTCGACCCCTGCCCCTGCCCCTGTCCCTGCCCCTGCCCCTGCCCCTGTCCCTGCCCCTTCCTGTGCCTCTGCCCGTGCCTCTGCCTCTGCTTGTGCCTATGTTCACCTTCTATGGTTGCTTCCCACCCACCTGCCAGCACAAGGCTGTGCCTCCCTCCACAGGCCACTGCTGTTGCTTTTATCGAGTCCTCTCTAGCAGCACACTCTGCTACAGCGGATGTGCTTATAACGGATGCTGCAGGAGCAGCAGGCAGCATCACGCACACTGGCACTGTCACCTTTCCCACCCGCCTGCCCACCCCCAGCTGCCCCTCACCGCCCTCGCCCCACGCCCACACCATTCCGCTGCCTGCTCTGGGTAAAGAGAGGAGAGGGTAGAGGGTAGAGGGTAGAGGGGGCAGGAAGGCGAGAGGATTTATGTGTGTGATGGGTTGATTTGAACCCCCAGCTGCCCCTCACCGCCCTCGCCCCACACCCACACCGTTCCACTGCTTGCTCTGGTTGAGGGGTAGAGAGGGGAGGAGCGAGAGATGAGTTCGTGCGTGTGTGGTTTAATTTGAATCCCCAGCTTCCCAGAATGGGGACAATATGGGAGAGAATAGGGTGAGGATGGAGAGAGAGCATGGGCAGAGGACGGGAAGAGCTTAGAAGCAGCACACAGCACAGCAGGCACCTGAAACATTACCTGATAGCTGGAGTCAATGGGGGAGGCCAAGAGATGGAATGGAAGAGACGCTGAACCAATGGGGTAGGGAAAGGAGGAGAGGAGGGTGGCAGCAGCACGCACACAACATAACAATCGCTACCTGAAGAATCACCTGAAAGAGCGAGGCAATGTTGGAGGCCCACAGAGACAGAGGTGATGGTGACCCAATGAGGAAGCGATGGGAGGAGAGGAAGGCAGGCGTCAGCAGAGGTGGGATGTCTGCTGCTAGTGGAAGCTTGTGCCGTGGGGCTGTGCTGTGGTGCTGCTGGGGTGTTGTTCGCTGCATGACCATGCTGCTGTGCAGGGACAGCAGGGGCAACGTCCCACTGCATGAGTCGTCCTGATGCTGCAGATCGCAGAGAAGAGGGGCAAGAGACGGGCGAGAGATACGGAGAGAGGGTGGTTGGGGAGAGTGTGGCGGAATCTGAGAAAATGGAATGAGGATTTTCGTTTTCTTTTTCTTCTTTCGTTTCTTTTCTTTCCTGCAATTCAAGGGTCAATGTCACATACCCATAATCGTATCTCTTAAGATAGCAGAAAACGGTGTTAGAGGAAAGCATTTACAAGGTACAAGCCACTGGAGCGCACTGCAACATGAAATGTTTATGCAACATGACACGACAACAGTTTATGGCACACCTGTGCCACACGAAGCACACGTGCAATGTGACACGTCACCACCACAGCACAACGGACAGACTGCCTCTTGCCCTGATTCCACTCACCAGAAACGAAGACACCCGCATCTTGCGAGCACTCGCCACCTGTCACGCACTCAAAGGCCGGCTGCCTGTCCCAGCGAACAGCACACAGACGAGTCCTGTGACTAGTCAACTCTCCTTCCCGTTCCTGCCCCTCCCCTTCCTGCCCCTCCTGTTCCTGCCCGAAAAACCTCTCCTCAGCCTCGTTCACCCTTCTCTCACTGTCACTTGACCGTTTCTTTTGCTCCGCTCCGCTCTTCTGCTCCCTCTCGTGCTGCTCCCTCTCGTGCTGCTCCCTCTCGTGCTGCTCCCTCTCGTGCTGCTCCCTCTCCTGCTTCTCCGTCTCCCGCTGCTGCTCCGACTTCTGCTGCTTGCTGCCATGCTCGCGCTGCTCTTTGCCCTGCTCTTTGCCCGTTTCTTCAGATGATGCCTGCTTCTTACCACGCTCCTCAGTCACCTGCCACACAAGACCATTGTCTGAAGGTACTATGTCATGTCATGCCATGTCAGCCGGCCATCATGCCATGTCAGCCGGCCATCATGCCATGTCAGCCGGCCACCATGCCATGTCAGCTGGCCATCATGCCATGTCAGCCGGCCACCATGCCATGTCAGCCGACCACCATGCCGTGTCAGCCGGCCACCATGCCAGCGCATCTTCTTTGCTCCTAAATTCGTTCGTGAACTAAAGCCGGAATCTTGCCATAAGCATATGTACATAAACACTGGAACTTCGCTATAAGAATTTGTGCTTTAAAGCCAGAATCGCTCGTCGAGCAGGAACAGCACAAACCCAAGGCTTCAACTCACCATCCACTGCCAGTGCTGTCCCGCAGCCTCCGCCTGCCAGAAACCGCCACGTGGGGTGCTCCCATTCGCCATTCTCACCCTGCGCTTTGACCTCCTCGAAGCTTGGCACTACAAACGCGTGAAGGGACATCTCGTTAAGAGCACCGCTGGAACCCGGAAACCGGTCCCGTGCGTCGTAATGGACAAAATCGTCATCATCCGCGTCAGTAAACGACCCGTTTGGAGATTGTGAGGCGAGGAATCCGGCAAAGAACAAACGGGGAAAGGAACGGCTGGAAGCCTGTCTCTGACAACGCATGACTGGGGTTAACCGCAAGTGCTAAGCACCAGCCGAGCTCTGATTTTTTGAGGCGCCTGCAGACATTAGCGAATTCAATGGCTGCTGAATGTAGTAGAATCTATTGCTGAATAAATGCATTGGCTTGTGCTGATGTAGAATTCAGTGTAAGTATGCGTGGGAAAGGTTTGTGCGTGACATTTGAAAATGGACAAGAACATCTCTCCACCGTAGCGAAACACTATGGACCGTACCAAAGCGCGGCTATTCCGCGATATTCCCGAGACTAGTACACCAACGGTCGGTCGAATATACTTTTAGAACGGGGGACTGGGGTTTATTTCATTTGACAAGAGCGGCACCTACCAGATAATCACTTCAGCCTGAGAAGTTCAAGAACTTACCCGTACTAAACCATTAAAAAAAGAACTTGCTGCGTGCAGTACAAGCTAAAAAGGCGAATCACAATTGAAGGACCAGTAACCAAAAAACAATTATTCTCTACTCTTTTTGCAGGTGCCCTCTCTTCATTGCACGAGGGCACCTGGATAATCAATCAACGCCGGCGTACCCTCCACTTCACTCCACCATACCTCCACACATATCCACTTCCTCCTTTTTCCTCTTCATTCCCAGATCTAGCTTCTGGCATTAGCATCGGCGCTCACAACAGACGAAGGATACGTGGCGCCGTTGCCATTGTCAGCAGGTGCGGCAGGAGGCTGGGAACCCCAGGAAGGCAGGGATGCGGAACGGGAGGGGGAAGGGGAGGCGGGGACGCTCTGGCCGGCGGGGCGGTCGCGCTTCTTGAGAGCGCGCTGCTTGGCGGGGTCCACCTTGGGTGGCACAGTGAAGCCGCCCATCTGCCGGAACTTGCCGACCCGCTCGCAGATGATGCGCTGCTCATCCTTCGCCACCAGATCCTGCTCGGGGAAGGGTAAGGGGAAAGGACGAACAGGCAAAATGAGGAAGAACCACGTATGGGAAAGAGGGTAAGGGAGAGAATGATGGATCATCCTTTTGCACCATGTCCTGCTGAGGTCAGAACCACGGCTGAAAACTAAGAGGGGTAATGGAATGCAAGAAGATGAGGTGAGGGGATATTTTGCTTGTCCTTCGAGCTACTCTCAGAAGGAAACGATGCGAGAAGTTATGCAGGAAACAATGGGGTGTTAACGCATGGTGGAAGCAGAAGGAGAATAGGTCGGGAGAAAAAGAAGGGGGAAATGACGGCAGGAAAGAATGGGAGAAAGGGGTGGGGGGGAAACGAGGCTTGGAGCGTGGAGATGATGCCACTGGCAAGGGGCATGCATGCTTGACGACACCCTTGCCCGTGATCATCCGGTCACATGGTCATTATGCATCCCATTACCAGTGCCATCATCTCCATGCCTCAGGCCTCTAGATCAAGGATTCAAGGTAACTTCGTAAGTTGTGCGCCCCACTCAAAAAGATTACAACCCAGTGCTGTCATGTCATACCCCTCTCCTCACAAGCCTCTCCTAACAAACCTCTCTCTCTTTCACTCCTCGCACTCGCCCCACCTTCATGTGCGCCATGATGGCAGACTTGATGGCCATCGATGTGGCCATGTAGTCGTTGTGCGCCCCTCTTGAAACAAATGTGACCCAGTGCTATCATAAACATGTCATACCCCTCTCCTAGCAATCGTCTCTCCTCACAAGCCTCTCCTCACAAGCATCTCTCTTTCTCTCTCCCCCCTCGCCCCACCTTCATGTGCGCCATGATGGCAGACTTGATGGTCATCGATGTGGCCATGTGGTCGTTGTGCGCCCCTCCCCATACAACACATCCCAGTGCTGCCATCCCCATCTCACACCTCTCTCCTCACAAGCCTCTCTCCCTCTCCTGCCATTCCTCTCCCCCCCCTCGCCCCACCTTCATGTGCGCCATGATGGCAGACTTGATGGCCATTGACGTCGCCATGTGGTCGGTGTGCGCCCCTTTACAATACAAGAAATGTGACCCAGTGCTATCATAAACATGTCATACCCCTCTCCTAGCAATCCCCTCTCCTCAAAAGCCTCTCCTCACAAGCCTCTCCTCAAAAGCCTCTCCTCAAAAGCCTCTCCTCACAAGCCTCTCCTCAAAAGCCTCTCCTCAAAAGCCTCTCCTCACAAGCCTCTCCTCAAAAGCCTCTCCTCACAAGCCTCTCCTCAAAAGCCTCTCCTCAAAAGCCTCTCCTCACAAGCCTCTCCTCACAAGCCTCTCCTCACAAGCCTCTCCTCACAAGCCTCTCCTCACAAGCCTCTCTCTTTCTCTCCCCCCCCTCGCCCCACCTTCATGTGCGCCATGATGGCAGACTTGATGGCCATTGATGTCGCCATGTGGTCGTTGTGTGCCCCTCCCAGCGGCTCCTGCAGCGAGAGGAGGCCGGAGCAGGGAAGAGAGGAGGCCAAGTGAGAAGAGAGGGGGGGGAAGGCTCAAATGGGAAGAGAATGGGGTGGGGCAAAGGGGGGGTGGAGGGACAGGGAGAGAGGGGTGCGGGGTCAATGAGCACTACATAGAGCATGAGAAGAACAACCATGCAACGAACAGCATGGGGGCACACAGCATGGGGGCACACAGCATGAGAAACGGCGGGACGCACCGGGATGATCTCGTCCACCACGCCCAGCTGCTGCAGCTGATCCGCTGTGATGCGCAGCGCCTCCGTGGCCTGGTGGTTGGTTCCATGGTAGAAGGGAGACGCACAGGGAGAAGCACAGGGAGGAGCACAGGGAGGGGAGAGAAAACGATTGATAGGTGGAGCAGAGGCAGCGAGAACAGCGCCCAGCTGCTGCAGCTGTTTGGCTGTGATGCGCAGCGCCTTCGTGGCCTGGTGGTTGGGTGGTGGGATGGTGGGATGGTGGGTTGGTAGGTGGTGCGGAGATGACAGAAGCGGAAACAGAACCAGAACGGTTGACATGTCAAACAGTGACGGCAGAGGGAGCAAGGAGCAGATGGATGGAGCAGCAGCCAGTTAATAAAAGCACATAGTTTCGAATCAACGGACGAAGTTAGTTTGATGCACTCTGCGCCAGAGATGCATCAGGTTCAGTTCGGTTCTGTTCAGTTCAGTTCGATTTTATTCAATATGGTTCGGTTTGGTGAGCGACTCACCTTGGGAGCGGCGGCGGCAGTCTTCCAGAGAATGGCCGCACACGCCTCAGGGCTGCAGATGGGGTGGTGGTGCGATCAGATGCATGTATGTCCCCACACATGAGCATGGACACATGCACACGCACACTCACACACATGCGCAAACACACGTATTCACATAACACACAGATGCACATATCCCCCCATATGCTCAAGCAAACACGCACCGCAGCAGACAATGAAGGGAAAGAGGCTCGTCAGTGGCTGCGAGGGGAATACGAAGTGGTAAAGTGGTCGACTCAATCCAGCAACACATTGTGTAGCCATAAACTGCTGTTCAAATCTTCTTAGAACTATTTAAGCAGCCAATATCGAGCACACTGGCGCAAAAATGAAGGTATTTTTACCTGGCAACGAAGTACACGGCGTTCTCGAGCATGAGCATCTTGTTGCAGCAGCCAATAGCGAGAGCGCCACCAGAGCCGCCCTCTCCAATCACCACACTGACTGACGGCACCTTGAGCCCAAACATCTCCCTCAGGTTGTGCGCAATGGCCTCGCCCTGGAGGTACGAGGGGCGGGGGAGGGAAAGGGAACGGGGAAGGGAACTTCGAACGGAGGCAGGGGCAGGAAGCACGAGCACACTGACTGACGGCGCCCTGAGCCCAAACATCTCCCTCAGGTTGTGCGCAATGGCCTCGCCCTGGAATGGCAGAGACAGGAAGCACGACCACACTGACAGGGTCGAAGGAGGAAGACAGGGGAAGCGAGGGGTACAGGGGGAAAACGGAGTGAAAATCAGGGGGGATAGGAGTGGGGGCATGAAAAGGGCAGGGTACAAGAGGGAAATGGAAAACAGGCTGTACGGCCACAAGGAACGACACTTCCATCTGTCCGTACCACCTCCTACACGCAAGGCTAGCGTGTGCATATTTGATCTCCTTGAACGCCCTCCCTTCTCCGACCTCCTTTGTGACGTGATTCCAACTTAAGCATGTGAGCGACATTCCGTGAAGCGCAGGGTGGTATACCACCCTACGACGCCCAAGAACGCCGTCTCACCTGCTCTACTGCCCGATAACGCCTTTCACCTGTTGAACTTCCCGAAAACGGTCCCTCCCCGGTTCAAGAGTGCCCTCTCACCTGGCCGAGCTCCTCGGCTGTGACGCCAGCGTAGGCGCCGGGAGTGTCGACGAATGTGATGATGGGCAGCCCGTGGTGGTCCGCGTGGCGCATCATGCGCAGCGCCTTGCGGTACCTGATGCACGTTGGGGGGGGGGTGGGGGAAGGGGGGGGACGGGGGGGGGGGTGGGTGAGGAGGACGGAAAGAAGGACAGAGGTCAACAGCAGAGGATTCAAAGACATGTAGTGGCCCGCGTGGCGCACTATGCGGAGCGACTTGCGGTACTTGATGTACGGGCGGGGAGGGGGGAGGGTGGGGGGGGAGGGGAGAGAGGGGGGAATGAAGGGTAGCGTTAACAGCCGACGAATAACTAGGCGGAGATTTGGCAGTGGTGACCATTGCAAGCACAAGAGCTATAAGAGACACAAACGCGCTGCCGTGTCGATTGCAAGCAGGGACATGCAACACTAGGAGCGAGACACATGCAACACTAGGAGCGAGACACATGCAACGAAACACGTAGCTAGTGCGCCGGCCACCGCGCTCGCCAGCGGACATGCAACGAGATGGCGCATGCCCACGAACATGCAGGAAGATTCCGCGCCAGCCCGCGGACATGCGGCGAGAGTCAGCCAGTGCTTCCGCGCAAGCGCTGTACCGCGCATGCCGAGTCTACAGCAGTCAGCAGCAGCTCGACCGGACTCTCATACACAGTCCCTTGCTCCCCATCCGTTCGTGCCTCTCGCTCTCACCCGTTGGGCGTGGGCATGCCGAAGTTGCGGTAGATGTTCTCCTTGGTGTTGCGCCCCTTCTGGTGCCCCATGAACATGAAGCTCATGCCGTCCATGCGCCCGATGCCGCACACCAGCGCCGGGTCATCGTAGCCCCCGCGGTCACCGTGCAGCTCCACCCACTGCGGAAAGGGAGGAGAATGGGGGGGGGGGGAGAGAATGGGGGGAAGCGCGGGGTGAGAAGGTAAGAGGAGAGTGAGCGGAGAGGGGAGAACGGAGGGAGAGATTGTAGCGGGTCGTCGTAGCCGCCGCGGTCGCCGTGCAGCTCCAAACACTGGGCAAGAGGAGGAGAGGAAAAGGGGGAAAGTTCGCGGGGAGGGGAGGACGGAGAGTGAGGTGTAAGAGAGCTGGGTCGTCGTATCCCCCGCGGTTGCCGTGCAGCTCCACCCACTGCGGAAGGGAGGAGAGCGGAAGGGGCAAGGTGCGCGGTAAGGAAGGGGGGGGAAAGTGCGCGCGCGGTGAGGGGGAAGGAGGGGAAAGTGCGCGGAGAGGGGAGAACGGGAGGGGTCCTGTAGGAGAGCTGGGTCGTCGCAGCCCCCGAAATCGCCGTGCAGCTCCAACCACTGCGCAAGAGGAGCATCGAGGGCGGAGAGAAATGGAAAACGCGCGCGGAGAAGGGGAAGGGGAAAGTGCGCGGAGAGGGGAAAGGGGAAAGCGCACGGAGTGGGGAGAACGGATGGGGAGACGTAAGAGAGCGGGTCATCGTAGGCCCCCCAGGTCGCCATGCAGCTCCACGCACACTGAGAGAAAGAGTAAGCGGAACGGAGAAACGTCAGGGAAGAAGGGGGAGCGGAATGGGGGACGAAAGCATTGTCGCAGCCCCCGCGGCTGCCGTGCAGTTCCGCCCACTGGGGTGGAAGAGCGAGAGTAGGCGGAAGAGTAGGAGTACGCGGATAGAGGGGCTCAATTGACACGCGAGCGAGCTTAGAAAAAGCGGAGGGGGAGAGGGGGGGGGACGGGGGGAGTATCCCGTGGGACAACGGCAAAAGAGGAAGCACGATGAATTTTCCAGCATAAGCATATATACCAATACGAGCAAAACCAAGGGCGTCGGGGGAGAGGAAACGGGTGGTTCGGCTGTGTATATAGAGGCGCTCAATAAGATTGTAAAAACTCTTTACGCATTAAGAACAGAAACATCGGCTGTGTACACAGGGACGCTTAACGAGGAAACAGTAAGCGAGGATAGGCCTACCTTGTCGGTCATGTTGAGGACATGATCCAAGAAAGTGGGACGATTGGGGTGACGCGCCACGCTGAGCCGCTGAACCGGAGTTATTCTCGCGTAGATGTCGCGCTTCAGCTGGAGAAGCGGAGAAAGCGCAGGTCAGGAGGAGAGAGAGACAAAAGAAATTGGGGAAAAGGCGGTGCGGATGAAGGGGAGGGTGAGGGTTAAGGGCCCCGGTTCAGCGTGCTAATGGTGCACAATCAATCGGCGGAACGCGAAAAGTTGATAATGAAAGTAGGAAAAAAGAACAGAAAACAACAAAAAGGCACGCGTCAACGTCAGCATGGGCATTGCACGGCTGCTTGAAGAGACTACAGCGTTGCCATTTCACCAGGTTCCGTACTTGTTCCTGCGCCTGATATGTGAAGCCCATGAGGACTCCAGAGACGCCTGGTTTGCAAATTTCACTGATACGACAGATGACCCTCATAGGCTGCGAGAGTCTCACCTGCTCATACTTGTCCTGCAGCTCCTGCACCTGGTCCGTGAAGTCCATGCCAGTCTTATCCGCCAGCTGGCGCACCTGGCGAGGCACAGAGACATCAACAATCGCAATTACAGTTAAAGTCGCAGTTACAGTCACAGTTACAGGAGAACGATGGGAGTCGTAGTGGACAGTCATAAGATGATGCTTGGTTGGAGATGTTTCAGCCGGGAATTCCAACAACCGGAGAATACATCGTGCGACTCTGTCAGCTACGACATGGTGTTGCTTTAAGAACGGAGGGAGGACTATTGTTAAGAAAAGAGGGTGGAGCGGGTCATCGCGGAAACCATAACCGTGACGAACGCTCGAGTTTTTCGCAGTACATGACTGTTCAAGGTTTCAGCACCAACAATTCCCCTCCTCCCTAGATTTTATAGAATTAGGATCTATATACCTCGTCAATTTTCTTCTCGAGGTCGACCAGAGGTTTCTCGAACGGCAGCGCCGTAGGCTTGGCGGGCTTGGCTACGTCCTTAAACTTGGACAGGAACGCCAGAAACCCCTTCTCCTCCGCATTGTACTTATCCGGCCACGGGTAGTCCGGGTCTCTCGGTGCTCTCTTCGTTTTCAGAATCTTTGCCTGGATCTGCAGCTTCTGAGGTGCAGAGCCTCCTGGCAAGATCTGACCGGCTGAAAGAGCCTTGGGAATTGGTAGGCTAACGGAATTTGAGCTCCGTAGGGATTGTCCGAGAGCGTCGCCGTGAAGGGATCGAACGGCGGGGAGCTGCGAGGCAGCACGGATCGGCGAACACACCGACATGGCTTCCATTTTGGTGTTCAGCAGAGTAACACACGGAACCCAATGGACCTAGGTGCTGTGGCTCGTTAGCAGTGTGAACTCTGGAAATTAGTTCCTGAAAACCCAATTTCCACAGTTCCGTGAATATGCTGGACCAATGAATCAGGAAACGATCAGGGCCAGGTCCCCTGAAGAAATGCGAGTCCCAGAGAGGATGGAGAAACAGAAGCGGAAGAAAGGACTTGGTCGAGGAGTGAGAGGAAGGGGGTGTTCCAATCCCAAGGTTCAGTTCGGCAATCCCATCCGAAGAGTCTCCTCCATCCGTCCTCGTCAGAGTGTACACTCCCTGATGTGCGTGTAGCTCATACTGATACGGCGCAACCTCCTTGCTGTAACCGCAGCAGAACTTGTTCACGTGAGGCGGGAAAGGGGAGGAGAGATCGAGGGAAGGGGAATGGTCAGGAATTGACGATAGGCGTTGCTGACGGTTGGATGACAGGAGGGCGACATTGATTGTTTCCTGGCCCTTGGATCGTTCGTCAGATGAAGCGATAACACAGCCAACCTCTTGGGAGACACGAGGGGCGACAGATTCCACGACAGATGACTCGTGCGACAGGTCATATCCTTGTTTCACAATGCAGAATCGAGATCGGAACCGTCGAATACACCCTGTTTCTCGCTACACTGAACTACGGAAACACACTGAACAGTGGAATTGTTCCTTGGACGTATTCGAAAAGTTTACAATAACCGTCTCTAGGAGGCGGGTGATCCGAAATTTCGTTAACCTGGGTACCCTACCGAGCCATATTAAAATTTCAACCGACCGTCTTCAAAGGTAGCTGACCTCGTCAAACCGAACTGGTGCAAAAGTTGACTATAGACCGTAATTTGGCGCGATGAGCCACAGGGTTCAGTATACCGGCGTTCACAATAGCGAAAAACAGGGTGTAGTAAAAGGGATGCTTTTCGAGATTGCAACGTGATGAAGTGGCTGGATCTGACCAAACACGTGGCAGGCCGCTAATCGGGTCGAGTCTGTACAGGGAACAAAATTCAGGTTTAAAGCCTCAAACCGCTATGGTTTCACGTTTATGTACAGTGTTGGAACGCAAATTCAATGTACCACATGTTTCCTTTTAAATGGGGGTTGTAGTAGAAAGAGCCTGAAAAAAAACGGTAAGGTTCATATTATCAAAAAAATATTTCTATTATTGATTTTTATAGACTATTCGTATTATTATTTATGTTCACGTTTGATATACTGCATCATGCTGTAAACTAGAAAGAAGTTACTTCATACCAGATTTTGGTTATTGGTGTAGCTTATGAACATGCGATTCCTAAACTCATTACATGGACACGCTTAAAAAGTGTTTCTGCCTTCCCCACCTCAACCTGCCGTTCCCCCAGTATTTGACCGTATCCAAACACTTCCGGATTCCGTGCTGCAGCCATCCATCGACCAATTAGCGAAAAGAGATTCCCTTGAGACCGCGTGACTCAGCATGGTCGTCCAATCATACAGCAATGACAGCACAAACAACAACCAGAGATACTGTACATGTCTGCCTCTTTAGGGCGCTTCCACAATGAACCTTTTGAGAAATCTTCCGTTGGAAGTATCTCAACCGCGTAGTACCAGAGCTTACTCGCAGAAAACCGATTTGCACCGGAACTGAATATGGAAATGGCTTACTTCTCTGAGTCAGGATTCCGAAGTACAAAGCACCTGTTGAGGCAATTCTCGGGATTAGTTGGTGGGTTAGGTGAATCAAGTCCCAAGGTTTGCGGATTCATGCCTGCTCTCATGACTACTTTCGTGCCTGCCCTCGTGTGAATCCAGTCCGTCTTGAAGCAGAGTCCAGTCCCGGTTGTCGTACTCAATTCGTGCCTTCTCCAGCAGGCTGTAAGGTGTCCACCATTCGGACTGCTTGCTGGACATTCGCAGAACCTATGCAGCCAGCCATTCTGAACACTAGACCCACTGGTACCAACTGTTCACCATGACTGTCGCTGGTAGAGTTCTTCCCCTTTTTAGGCGGATGATGTCCACGTCAGCATCATCACCACCTCGAAAAGTGACGGTTTTGGGAGCTGCTGGCGGCATTGGCAATCCGCTGAGCCTGCTGCTGAAAATGAATCCGCTAATAACGGATCTGGCTCTGTATGACGTCACGGGCATGCCTGGCGTGGTTGCTGACCTCAGCCACATCTGCACGAGAACCAAGGTGATTGGACCCAGGAGCCGTACACAATGAATCATTACACTCAATGATTAGCTGACCCGTCGTTCAATGCGAGCAACATTTCTATGTGCTTCACGAGGAACTCGTTTGCGGAGACACTATGGATTCCTGATCCATTCGCTGTTACGCCTCTTTCTCTTGAATACACTAAATTCATGTAAATATCTGACGGGATGAGCAGCTAGTAAACCAGCTAATGCCTCACGACGAACCTGAAATTTCCTTCTCTTCGATCTCCACTGCCAGGTCAGCAGCTACCTCGGGTAGTACGAGCTACCAGACGCAATGCGGGGCTTAGAACCTAAAGTCACTGATTCCCAAACAATCAGTGCGCTCATTTCACGACGAACCTGCATTCCCTTCTCTCCCATCACTGACAGGTCAGAAGCTACCTCGGGCCGTACGAGCTGCCGGACGCGCTGCGGGGGTCGCACGTGGTGCTGGTGCTGGCGGGAGTGCCGTACCGGTCGTCCATGGGGGACGAGGACCGCTTCTGCATGAACGCGGGGATCGTCAGGGGGCTGTGCGAGTCCATCGCTAAACATAGCCCGGAGGTAAGGGCGTGCGAGAGTGCGAGTCGATTGCAAAACACAGCCCAGAGGAACCCCCTCAACGCCACCTCCCTAACCCTTCTTTCTCCCCTTCCTTTCCACTGATTGAGTCCCCTTTCCCCCTTTTTCCTGCCCTCCTCGCTGTCTCCACCACTCCAGGCGGTGATAGGGGTGATCACGAACCCCCTCAACGCCACGGTGCCGATAGCAGCAGAGGCCATGGCGGGGGCAGGCAAGTACGATGCAAGGCGGCTGCTGGGAATCACGTCGCTGCACTCCGTGCGCGCCATAGCGCTTCTGGCTGAGGCAACGGGGCTGAAGGCCACAGGTGAGAGAGAGAGTTGAAAGGAAGGGTGAGAGTAGGGGAAGGGGCGAGAGCAGGCAGGTATGAGGCGCGGCGGCTGTTGGTAATCACGTCGCTGCACTCCGTGCGCGCCAGGGCTCTGCTGGCTGAGGCAACGGGACTCAAGGCGACAGGTGAGGGGGAGTTGAAAGGGCGAGAGCAGGAAATTACAGGAAGAAGCAGGTGCTGGGAGTCATCGTGTCTCAGTCGATTAAGAAATCTGCTCATGGGCGAACGACAACAAGGCTGGGGTTGGTTGATGGCACGGCTGGTGGGAAGGGAAGCAGGGGCCGCGACGCCTCAGGTGAGTGAGAGTGATGTGGGCTAGTAAGAACGTGGGAAGACCGGTTATGGCAGGCGCGAGAGAATTGCAGGTGAGAAGGTGAGGAGGAGAGACGGTGAGTGGGTGAGGGTGAGATTGTGAGAAAGGACAAGAGAAGGAGTGAGGATGCTGGGTGAGGTGAGGTGCTGGAGAGGGTGCGTGCAGAGATGACTCTGAGGAGAGTGTCAGTTAAGGGCGTGTGTGATTTTTGGAAACCTGTCGAAGTTCGAACTCTAACCGCTTTGCACCGTGGCCACACATCTCTCAAATGTATTCTACAATGTAGAACCGTTATAAAAGTTCGAACTTTGGGAAGTTCGAAAAAGAATCACACACGCCCTAAGGGGCACGGGAAAGGCGAGCAGCACAAGTGAATATGAGACGTTTTTTAGAAACCTTCCAGAGAATTCAGCATTGGAAGATTCAGTAATGGGGGATTCAACATTGCGTTGCGGGATTCAGCATTCTTCAATTTGGCTTTGCATCGCTCTCGGCAATTCCTTCCATTCCATTCTCCACCCCATATATCCCCTCCGCACCCCACCTGTCCTTCAAGTGGTTTCATCCTCCGCATTTCTCCCTCATCTCATGCACACCAGCCCCCATCATCTCAGGCACACCAGCCCCCATCATCTCAGGCACACCAGCCCCCATCATCTCAGGCACACCAGCTCCCATCATCTCAGGCACACCAGCCCCCATCATCTCAGGCACACCAGCCCCCATCATCTCAGGCACACCAGCCCCCATCATCTCAGGCACACCAGCCCCCATCATCTCAGGCTAAGTTGCCAAAAACGCTCAGACCTGTTTGCGTTTAGCGGATATCCGCTTGCGTATACACGCAACACGCTATACGCAAGGGAATCCGCTATACGCTCGACAAATTTGTTTTGGGGCAGCCCGGGCGGAAAAATATTCGAATATACGGAAAGATGCGGAATTTCACGGCGTGCATTTTGCCGAAGGCGAATTGCACGTACGTGACTCGTCCAATCGTGGACGTGGGTTCAACCCACATAGTCGCGATTGGTGGTGTCAATTTTACAAGTCGCATTTTCACGTTCACACATTGTGCGCTCTGTTTGTTACCGCATTCCATCCCCACCCATCTACTCTCTCCAACCACTTGTCTCAATGTTCCCTTCTCTCGTTGTGCTATTTAGTTGGTTGCACGCAACTACGCAATTCATCAGTTTCCCATCTCGTTCATTATGTCTAGCCCGCCATGCACACCGCCATCCGTTCAGACAGTGCAGAGTTCCCGGAGTGTTCAACCTGAGGGTAGGGAGTACCTTCCCGTCATGGACCACGCTGTCTTCAAACATATCAGCATCATTAAGCGGGTTGAAGGCAAAGCACAGCAGTACGAGTGTAAGTACTGCTTCAATGTTTTCACCGGTGCAGTCATTCGTTGCGCGCAACACCTGAGCTCGTGGAAGGGAATGAAGCGTCGCGAGGTGATGCTTTGCAAGGAGGCACCGCAAGACGTACGCAAGGAGATGCGCACTAAATACGAAAACCTGGCTGCCGCGAACGAGGAAAAGCGCCGAGCAACATCTGCTGCGGTTGCTGCGGTCCAGGCTGGCGGTGGGAAGCGGCGCATAACCGACTACTTGGAGGGAGATGCTGCTGCGGCTAAGCGGGATGCTCACGAGGGCCTTGCGCTGATGTTTGCGGCCTGCAGAATCCCGGAGATCACCATAAACCACCCGCTGTTCATCAACGCCATGCTGCTCGTCAACCGCGCCGGCCCCGGCTACGTCCCCCCCAAGAGGAGCTTCATTGGCGGGGCTGGACTAGTCGCTGTCCGCAAAGGGATTGAGCAGGGGCTGATGGGGATTAAAACGAGCTGGAAGAAGACGGGGGTAACAATTGCGTCCGACATGATGACGGACAAATGTGGGAGGGCGCAAGCGAACGTCCTTCTGATTAACGACTCCGGCGCCGTCTTCAAGGAGGCGATCGACTGCGGTATGGAGCGTAAGACGGGGGGAATACGTAGTGGGGATTCTGCAGCCGGTGGTGGAGGAGGTAGGACCAGAAAATGTGATCGCGTTTTGTATGTATGGGGGATCGAACTATGCCGTGGCTGTCCAGGAGCTGACTGCCAAGTGGCCCCACATTCAGCAGGTCCCTTGTGCCACGCATGTGATGGATCTCCTCCAGAAGGACATGGGAAAGATGGGGTGGGCAAAAGGGGTGGTGGATCGGACTGGGGAGATGATTTCGTTCGTGCGCAACCATCATTGGACGCGCGCTAACCTGAGGACCCCGGAGTTGGTGGAGGGGAAGGTGCTGCAGCCGCTGAAGCCGGCAGGAACACGGTTCGGGACACAGTATATTGCTGTGTCCCGCCTTTGTGAGTTGCGTAGCACCCTGAACGCGATGGTACTTACCGACAGGTGGGAGGAGTGGGCCGTGGGGTCGCGGAAGGAAGCTGCCGAGACCTTTGCTGCTCGGGTCCTCGATGCCGCATGGTGGCGGACAGCTGAATTCTTCTGCAAGCTGATGAAACTGCCCTACAAGGCGATGCGGCAGACGGACGCAGATGCCAAGGGGATGATGGGCCGGCTTTACGATGTAATGCTGCAGCTTACGGAGGATGTCAACAACCTCTTGGACGAGGATGAGCAGCAGCTGAGTAGCACGGACAAGGTGCAGATCCGTCGCATCATCAAGAACCGTTGGGATAACAACCTCGCCTGCGCCATGCACGTTGCTGGCCGAATCCTCAACCCCGCCAACCAGGAGGAGGACATCTTCGGCAGCGACGCAGAATGCACCCGGGTTTTCAAGGCATTTATCAACCAGCACGTGGAGTTCCTCATCGACCACGACGGGAAGGGGAGGGAGGAGGGTGTTGATTACTTGCTTGCCTTGGGTGACGGGCTGAGGGCTTTCTTGGACCTGAAAGGAAGTTTCGGGATGCCGGAGGCGCTTGCACAAAGGGCGAAGGTGAAGGCGGGTAAATACAGCATGGTGAAGTGGTGGCAGTGGAACGGCACAGATGCACCTCACCTGATGTCTCTCGCCGTGAGGGTGCTCTCTCAGCCTGTATCGGCATCCCCTTGTGAGCGTGGGTGGGGAACTTGGGATGCAGTCCACACAGCCCGCCGGAACCGCCTCGGATCTGCAAAGTGCCAGGACCTGGTTTTTGTTGCACACAACTGGAATGTTGTGCGCAACTGGCACTCGCGCGCAGATGTAATGCCGAACCTTGTGCCAGGGATTGGGGACGAGCCTCCTATCCCCGAGGGGTACAACTGGTTGGATGAGACGGAGGTGGAGGAGGAGGAAGGCGAGGATGACGTGCTGGAAGACGAGTATGCATAGGACAAGGTTTAAGGTGCGGGGGGGCATGTGGAATGTTGCGGGGAGGCTGTTTTATGTTCTCATGTCTTAGTCGTGGTGGTAGGAGAGCATTATTGTAGCATGGCCGCATCGTGTCGGAATCATATTATGGGAAAAAAAAGATCACACAGCCGAAACCCCCAACACCCCCCCCCTCAAACATCCCTCGGGCTTTTGTTCCCTTGCCCGGGAAAAGTTTTTCACTGCCCGAAATAGCGTATGGCCAAAGTGACCCCTTAAGCGGATAGAGTGCATACGCTAGCGTATATACGATGAGCGTATATACGCTATAAGCGTATATGGCAACTTAGATCTCAGGCACACCAGCCCCCATCATCTCAGGCACACCAGCCCCCATCATCTCGTGCATCATCCTCCCTCTGCCTGAGCGTCTGACTTTCAGCTGCCTCACAAGCTCTTTTCTCAATGCATCGTCCTCCTCTGACGCTGCTTCTGTCTAAATTCGTCTTATGTGACTCCCAAATCTCACACCTTGTACTCTTCTCATCCATCCGTTACAGATCTGTCAGTGCCTGTTGTGGGAGGCAGCAGAGACAACACAATAGTCCCCCTCTTCTCGCAGGTGTGTATGTATCTCCTTCCCTGTTTTGAGTCGACTAAAAGAAGTATCTCCGTCCCTGTGCTTCAAGTGCATGAGTCCGATAGTTCCTTTCGTTGCTCCATCCCATACCCATCGCCATTTTCCTCCCCCTCGTCTCTCTGCCCGTCCTTCATTCCTACTTCCGCCTTGTCATTCTCCTCTCGCTTGTCTCCTCGTCTCCTTGACTCTTGCTCCAGTCCATGCTACCCCTTGCGTTTCCCTGTGTGAGAAGGAGCGGGTGAATGTTGAAGCACCTTACAAAACCCTCTCTGTCCCTTTGTCCCTCTGTACCTCCATTCCTCTGGTTTTTGAGTCGACTTAAAAAACGTCCCTCCCTATCCCTCTGTCTTTCCTTCACCCATGCCACCCCAGTATTTTCCCTGCGTGAGGAGGTGCGGGTGAGGCAGGTGAAGGCATTACTTTAGAAACCTAAAAAACTAGCCCTGTCCCTGTCTCCCTGGCAGGTGTTCCTCTGTCTCTCTGTCTCCCTGTCTCCCTGTCTCCCTGTCTCCCTGTCTCCCTGTCTCTCTGTCCCTCTGTCTCTCTGTTTCTCTGTCTCTCTGTCTCCCTGTCTCCCTGTCTCCCTGTCTCCCTGTCTCCTTGTCTCTCTGTCTCCCTGTCTCCCTGTCTCCCTGTCTCCCTGTCTCTCTGTCTCTCTGTCTCCCTGTCTCTCTGTCTCCCTGTCTCTCTGTCTCTCTGTCTCCCTGTCTCTCTGTCTCCCTGTCTCCCTGTCTCCTTGTCCCTCTGTCTCTCTGTCTCCCTGTCTCCCTGTCTCCCTGTCTCCCTGTCTCTCTGTCTCCCTGTCTCTCTGTCTCTCTGTCTCCCTGTCTCTCTGTCTCCCTGTCTATCTGTCTCTCTGTCTCTCTGTCTCTCTGTCTCCCTGTCTCTCTGTCTCCCTGTCTCCCTGTCTCCTTGTCCCTCTGTCTCTCTGTCTCTCTGTCTCTCTGTCTCCCTGTCTCCCGGTCTCTATCCTCGTTTCTTCTGTTCCCCTGTCCCTCTGTTGTTCGCTCAGGCCACCCAGCAGTTTCCCTGGAAGAGGACGAGCAGGCTGGTGAGGCGGGTGAGGGCGACTTTTTAGGCATCTTGAAGGTTACCTCCGTCCCTCCGTCCCTCTGTCTCTCCGTCCCTCTTTCTCTCTGTCCCTCTGTCCCCTCGGCCAGGCCACCCCGTCAGTTTTTCTGCGAGAGGACGAGCGCCTTAGGCTGGTGAGGCGGGTGAGGGTGAGTGGCATGCAGGTGATCACAGCAAAGGACGGCAAGGGCTCTGCCATCATGGCTCCAGCGTACGTCCCCCTCCCTCCCTCCCTCCCTCCCTCCCTCCCTCCCTCCCTCTGCTCCTCAATCCGCTTGCAAGGTGGCGCATGTGACTCATGAGTTGACTCGTGAGTTTAGGGTTGACTCATAGATGGACTCGTGGTTTGACCCGTCATTTGATTTGTAAGCTGGTGAGGCGGGTGAGGGCGAGTGGCATGCAGGTGATCACAGCCAAGGACGGCAAGGGCTCTGCCATCATGGCTCCAGTGTACGTCCCCCTCCCTCCCTCCCTCCCTCCCTCCCACTGCTACCGACTCGCCTCCCATGTCTACAAAGAGATTCTCTTTCCTCCCTACATATGCAGTCGTTGTCTTTGAGTCGACTCAAAATCAACCAGCGTACGTCCCCCTCTCGCCTACTATTACTGACTCGCCTCCCATGTTTACCAAGAGCTTCCCTTCCCTCGCTACATATGCACCCGTTGTCTTATGCGCCTCTCTGCACGTATCCCACTGTCTGTTTCACCTCTGTGCATGCGCACTCCTCCCATTGTGTCTTATGACTTCGTATGTGGATCCACAATTTCTGGTTGTCGCTGCCCCCATGTTTTGTTGTCGTGCAGGTTCGCAGCTTTGAGGCGCCTCAAAAGTCCTCTCTGCATGCGCGTTTCTCCCATTGTCTCTTATGACTACCTGTGTGTTGTGGCTGTCCCCGTGTGTTGTGGTTGTGCAGGTTTGCAGCTGCCAGCTTCACGAGTTCGCTGCTCAAGGCCCTGAACGGTGAAGCGGTTACAGAGTATGCGTATGTGGCTTCGAGTGTAACAGATGCACCATTCTTTGCTTCAAAGGTAAGGCATTTGTGCCCCTGCAACCGTGGTAATTTTACATCAGCGCTTCCCACACCACAGGTTTCCACCTAGTGCAAATTCATCCCAAATTTTATTCGTTCCACCCCCCTGCGCCCCCAACCCCCCACCCCACCCCTTCCTCACCTCCTCACCCCCTGCCCCCCTTCCTCCCACACCCCCCGGATTTTTTTCCCCTCTCATCACATTCCCTCCTTTCCTCCTGTGCGTATATTTCCGTAGCAAGTGATGCGGTAATGCTCGAAATGCTCCGCGCGCAATTCAATCCGAATTGTTGTATTGGTTCAATGCAGGTTCAACTTGGTCCCAACGGTGTGGAAAAGGTGTTCCCAGTTGAGGACGTGAGTCCTGGAGAACGGAAAGATGTCGAAAGTGCTGTTAGGCTAATAAAAGAAGATGTTGCCAAGGGCATAGCATTTATGTCCACAAGATGAGCTTATGATGTGCGTCACAATTGTTCTGCTAACCGAAGTCGCCATATCGCGGAAAATCGGTACTGATTCTTGCCGAGCCACGTGTAGATGGATGCGAAGGTGCCTTGCTATTGGTCAAAGCTTCCTGTTAAAATATATGCTATTGGTCAAAGCTTCCTGTTAAAATATACTAATTTCGGGCATCTTACCATCGACTTCGGTAGGTCAACGTTTAGCATAAGCCTTGACGGAATACCGCTACGTGGACAAGGCACAGCAGATTTTTTTCCACGTTGCGAAATTCGTTGAGAAGTTTCCCGATTCAACCAGTAGAAAGAAAATATTTGCAAGGCTGGCAGGAGCTGCTGCTGAAATGCACTCCCTGGGTGTAAAAATATTCCCTCCGGGTCCTCTGGAGATTCCTTTTCGACGTGTACCAGTCAATCCCAGCCCTCCTTCCCAACCTGTCGCCATTCCTCCCCGTAACCAGCCCCAGAAACCCACCCCGTCAGCAAGCCACACTCCACGCAACCGCAGCGCATTTGCAAAATCCAATGGAATGGTGGAGATTCCGCTGGTGAACGGACACCCAGTGGTGCTCCATCAGAGATTCCCTCCAACGCGGTCCGGACGGACGAATGATTCCGCGTCCCCATTCTTCGTCTCTCCACTGCCATTCGCTCCATCTGAGCACCTCCCGCTCCTCACTCGAACCTCCCTCTGCTCGCTTCAATTTTCCAACCAGCTCGCGTTTTTCCATGGTTGTTCTGCCATACTGCCTGGCACACCACACCACACCACCTGCCACATTCTTGGCATAAATTTCGCGCCACCAGTTTCCAACTTCGATAGTGTTTGTTCCAATCCCCGTCCTCGTGCATTCGTGACCTTTCCCCCGATTTCCGCGCTTGCTGGCAGATTCGAAAGCCACAAGCTTATCCAAGCAGGTCTTCAACATTTCGTGCCACTTTAATCCTTTACTTTGAAGCCAACGAGGCGTTTCTCATAAGTGTCTAATAATTATATATCGTCTTCCTTCGCGTGAACTAGCAATTTCACGAAGAACTAACTGCTAACGATCATGGCTTCTACGTGCACCGTTAGGTGCGTAACGAACATGGCTTCTCAACAACGCTCACCACAAGCGACTTTTCAGCTGCCGTCGAGCTCGCTACACTCAACTCCGCCCGCCCACTCACTGAGCCGCTTCACCTTGCCGTTCGCTCCGCTCGGCCAATCGCCGTGCTCCCGTTCCCGACGGCGACGAGCTGCGCCTTCCGCGGTGCACCACTCGCACAACCGCGCGTCGCGTATCGACGAGGGCGCTCAGAAGTGGGGCGGTGTCCTCCGCCTCGGTGACGGAAAGAGCGGTGGAGGCGGGGAGTACTCCGCGTGGTCTCCCGTGAAGGTCCCCCCACGCGTAGCCGCGCCACCGCCCCGCGCGCAACCGACGAAGGCGCAAAGGCAGCGCTCCGCCAAGGCGCGCGCGAGCAGCGGAAGCACCGCTGTGTTGCGTGGAGAGCCCACCGCAATCGCGGTCGCCGTGCCGGTGCCGAATGGGTTGTCCGTCGGGCTTGGCGACTCCATCCGCGAGCCTACCGGAGCTCCGCGTTCCGCGGCAATCGGCGCAAAGAGCATGGCGGAAGCCTTGGAGATTTCCCCCATGACTGCCGCCGCGATGGTCGCCGTGATCGCCGCGTGCGCCGTCGCTGCGCCGTTCGGCCTCGGGTTTCTCTCCGCCGACGCGCCGCTGCAGACGAACGTGCTAGCGTACATCACGGCGATGATCGGGCTGTACATGGCGTGGAACATCGGCGCGAATGACGTGTCAAACGCAATGGGCACCTCCGTCGGGTCGGGCGCGCTGTCGATGCGGACCGCGGTGCTCGTGGCAGGGGTTCTGGAATTTGGCGGCGCGATGCTGGTCGGGTCGCACGTGAGCGACACGATGCAGACGGGGATCATTGACCCGGGGCTGTTTGTGAACGATCAACCGCTTCTTTTCACTGGCATGATCTCATCGCTCGCTGCTGCCGGCACGTGGCTACAGGTACGGTCCACGTCTTGTGCAAACCTCCTTATCCTCCCCCCACCCTTCCCCCTCCTCTTCTCCCTACCTCTGGAGAATCAAAACATAATATGGAAATCGAAACAAGAGTCCCTGGTTGTGCCACCAACTTCACATTAATAAAAATTAATGGCTATTGGTTTGAATAAAGATTCCTCGAATCCAAAACGCACACCAATCTCCTCCTCTCCCTGCCGCGTGTCTCCCGCCAGTCTGTTTTAGCCTAATTCTCGGTTTCCACACGTGTCCCCTTCTCTCGCATCGCGTAATTCCAGATTGCGACGCACTTCGGCTGGCCCGTGTCGACCACGCATTGCATCGTAGGCGCGATGGTGGGGTTCGGTTTCGTCTACGGCGGCGCGGACGCGGTTTGCTGGGACTCGCTGTCCCACGTGGCCTCCTCCTGGGTGCTCTCGCCTGTTCTCGGAGCTACTGTAGCGTACAGTATCTACACCGCAATTCAGAAATTCGTTTACGAAGCCGATTCGCCCGCCCACGCCGCTTCCAGCGCCGCTCCGTACCTCGTTGGGCTGGGCGTGTTCGCGTTTTCGTTATCCTCGTTATTCACTGGAGACGCCGCGTTTGCGCCAGCCGCGTTGGAGTCTCTTGCAGCGGGTACAGTTGCCGCGAGTGTAGCATCTCTCTTCATGGAAAAGCAGGTTGGGAGTCAATTAAAGGAGCTAAGCAAGTCGCTTAGCCTGCTAGACGGAAGACAAACGTCTCGGACAGCAGCAGCAGCAGCAGCAGCAGCAGCAGCAGGAGGAGCATGCAAGGGGGAACAACAACGAACAGTGTACTCCATTTTTGGGTATCTCCAGGTTCTATCCGCGTGTTTCATGTCGTTCGCCCATGGCTCGAACGACGTCGCAAACGCGATCGGGCCCATCGCTGCAGCTCTCAACATCCTTTCCGCTTCTGCTGTTGCCGCTACCTCTCCTGATGCTGCGGATGCTGCTGTTGCCGCGGCCGCTGCGGCGCCAACCACGCACATTCTCATGTGGGGTGGTTTCGGCATCGTCGCAGGACTACTCGTGTGTGGTTACCAGGTGATTTCGACAATCGGCGGGAAAATTACCGAAATTACCCCAACTCGTGGGTTCGCAGCTGAATTCGCAGCAGCCTCGGTGGTGGTGCTGGCGTCGCGATTGGGGTTACCAGTCTCGGCGACGCACACGTTGGTGGGAGCGGTTATGGGGGTGGGTCTGGCGCAAGGGGGAAGCGGGGGAGTGCGCGGGGAGGTTTTGGCGGAGATTGCTGCGTCGTGGGCAATTACCATTCCCGCTGGCGCAGCTCTCGCTATAATGTACTCCGCTGCTCTGTCTCAGATCGTCCCCACTTTCTTCTGACACATCCATCTGGGCGTCAACTTCATGCAAGTCTGAACAGTCCGTTTGTGAATACCCCCCCTCGATTTCTGGGGTGGTCTTCGGGTCCATCCATTCACCCATGGACTTCTTTCTACACGTGGAAATTAGGTGTGGCTGCTGCTGTTTGGTGGCTGTGCTGATGGGGATGGTTATCGATCGATGGCCCCTCCCCTCTTAGATCTTACATTTTTGCAGGTTCCAAGTGTGTGTGTTGCTGTTCCTACATGTATTGATTAAGTAATAAAAGCCTTGTGACATGTACTGCTGGTGCAGGGCACTCTGAGCAGTCTTGATAAGGTAGAGCAAGACATATTTTTTCGTGGCTAAGCAACATGATGTTTGTAGTGTAGCAATTGTGAGACAATCTTTGGTGGTAACAGCCACGTGGCAATGAGGGGGAGAAGCAGTCCAATCAAGAAGCCCATGAGCATGCCATATGTGCTGCTGATTGGCCAAGCCTGCATGGGGAGGCAGGGAGAGGGAGGGAGCATTGATGAGACGTGAGTTGCACACCAGGCAGGTCAAGAAACTCAGGTGAAAGGAGGAGAGGAGGAAAGGTGAGTGAGGAGGGGTAAGCATCGCGAAGGAGAGGGCATGAGACGTGAGTGGCTGCCCAGGCAGGTCAAGAAACTCAGGTGAAAGGAGGGGAGAGGGATAGGAGGAAAGGGGAGTGGAGGGAGGGGAGAGGGGTAGGAGGAAAGGGGAATGGAGGGAGGGGAGAGGGATAGGAGGAAAGGGGAGTGGAGGGAGGGAAGCTCATATACCCATGCACCCATGGACCCATCACACACCCATGCACCCATCAAACACCCATCATGCACCCATGCACCATGCACTCATCTGCCTGCCCCTTTTCCCTGTAACACACATGCCACGGCCTTTCCCAGTCCAAAGGCATGAGCCATACACCCACCCATGCACCCACCCATGCACCCATGCAAGTACCCCTGTACCGTGACCCACCTAAGTGCCCCCCCCCCAGCCCACCTGCAGCTTTTCCCAGTCCAAAGGCATGGGTCATGCCCCCACCCACGCATGCATGCACACAACATGCACACATACACCCACGCACCTGCCCATTCCCTCCTTTACCACCCACCTGCCATGGCTTTTCCCAGGCCAAAGGCATGGGCCATGCACCCATGCACCCATGCTTCCATGCACCCATGCACCCATGCACCCATGCACCCATGCACCCATGCACCCATGCACCCATGCACCCATGCACCCATGCACCCATGCACCCATGCACCCATGCACCCATGCTTCCATGCACCCATGCACCCATGCACCCATGCACCCATGCACCCATGCACCCATGCACCCATGCACCCATGCACCCATGCACCCATGCACCCATGCACCCATGCACCCATGCACCCATGCACCCATGCACCCATGCACCCATGCACCCATGCACCCATGCACCCATGCTTCCATGCACCCATGCACCCATGCACCCATGCACCCATGCACCCATGCACCCATGCACCCATGCACCCATGCACCCATGCACCCATGCACCCATGCACCCATGCACCCATGCACCCATGCACCCATGCTTCCATGCACCCATGCACCCATGCACCCATGCACCCATGCACCCATGCACCCATGCACCCATGCACCCATGCACCCATGCACCCATGCACCCATGCACCCATGCACCCATGCACCCATGCACCCATGCACCCATGCACCCATGCACGCATCCATGCACCCATGCACGCATCCATGCACCCATGCACCCATGCACCCATGCACCCATGCACCCATGCACCCATGCACCCATGCACCCATGCACCCATGCACCCATGCACCCATGCACCCATGCACCCATGCACCCATGCATGCACCCATGCACCCATGCACCCATGCACCCATGCACCCATGCACCCATGCACCCATGCACCCATGCACCCATGCACCCATGCACCCATGCACCCATGCACCCATGCACCCATGCACCCATGCACCCATGCACCCATGCACCCATGCACCCATGCACCCATGCACCCATGCACCCATGCACCCATGCACCCATGCACCCATGCACCCATGCACCCATGCACCCATGCACCCATGCACCCATGCACCCATGCACCCATGCATCCATGCACCCATGCACCCATGCACCCATGCACCCATCCACCCATGCACCCATGCACCCATGCACCCATGCACCCATGCTTCCATGCTCCCATGCACCCATGCACCCATGCACCCATGCTTCCATGCACCCATGCACCCATGCACCCATGCACCCATGCACCCATGCACCCATGCACCCATGCACCCATGCACCCATGCACCCATGCACCCATGCACCCATGCTTCCATGCACCCATGCACCCATGCACCCATGCACCCATGCACCCATGCACCCATGCACCCATGCTTCCATGCACCCATGCTTCCATGCACCCATGCACCCATGCACCCATGCACCCATGCACCCATGCACCCATGCACCCATGCACCCATGCACCCATGCTTCCATGCACCCATGCACCCATGCACCCATGCACCCATGCACCCATGCACCCATGCACCCATGCACCCATGCACCCATGCACCCATGCTTCCATGCACCCATGCACCCATGCACCCATGCACCCATGCACCCATGCTTCCATGCACCCATGCACCCATGCACCCATGCACCCATGCACCCATGCACCCATGCACCCATGCTTCCATGCACCCATGCTTCCATGCACCCATGCACCCATGCACCCATGCACCCATGCACCCATGCACCCATGCACCCATGCACCCATGCACCCATGCTTCCATGCACCCATGCACCCATGCACCCATGCACCCATGCACCCATGCACCCATGCACCCATGCACCCATGCACCCATGCACCCATGCACCCATGCACCCATGCACCCATGCACCCATGCTTCCATGCACCCATGCACCCATGCACCCATGCACCCATGCACCCATGCACCCATGCACCCATGCACCCATGCACCCATGCACCCATGCACCCATGCACCCATGCACCCATGCACCCATGCACCCATGCACCCATGCACCCATGCACCCATGCACCCATGCACCCATGCACCCATGCACCCATGCACCCATGCACCCATGCACCCATGCACCCATGCACCCATGCACCCATGCACCCATGCACCCATGCACCCATGCACCCATGCACCCATGCACCCATGCACCCATGCACCCATGCACCCATGCACCCATGCACCCATGCACCCATGCACCCATGCACCCATGCACCCATGCACCCATGCACCCATGCACCCATGCACCCATGCACCCATGCACCATGCATCCCATGCACCCATGCACCCATGCACCCATGCACCCATGCACCCATGCACCCATGCACCCATGCACCCATGCATGCATCCATGCACCCATGCACCCATGCATGCATCCATGCACCCATGCACCCATGCACCCATGCACCCATGCACCCATGCACCCATGCACCCATGCACCCATGCACCCATGCACCCATGCACCCATGCTTCCATGCACCCATGCACCCATGCACCCATGCACCCATGCACCCATGCACCCATGCACCCATGCACCCATGCACCCATGCACCCATGCTTCCATGCACCCATGCACCCATGCACCATGCACCCATGCACCCATGCTTCCATGCACCCATGCACCCATGCACCATGCACCCATGCACCCATGCACCCATGCACCCATGCTTCCATGCACCCATGCTTCCATGCACCCATGCACCCATGCACCCATGCACCCATGCACCCATGCACCCATGCTTCCATGCACCCATGCTTCCATGCACCCATGCACCCATGCACCCATGCACCCATGCACCCATGCACCCATGCACCCATGCACCCATGCACCCATGCTTCCATGCACCCATGCACCCATGCACCCATGCACCCATGCACCCATGCACCCATGCACCCATGCACCCATGCACCCATGCTTCCATGCACCCATGCACCCATGCACCCATGCACCCATGCACCCATGCTTCCATGCACCCATGCACCCATGCACCCATGCACCCATGCACCCATGCACCCATGCACCCATGCTTCCATGCACCCATGCTTCCATGCACCCATGCACCCATGCACCCATGCACCCATGCACCCATGCACCCATGCACCCATGCACCCATGCTTCCATGCACCCATGCACCCATGCACCCATGCACCCATGCACCCATGCACCCATGCACCCATGCACCCATGCACCCATGCACCCATGCACCCATGCACCCATGCACCCATGCACCCATGCTTCCATGCACCCATGCACCCATGCACCCATGCACCCATGCACCCATGCACCCATGCACCCATGCACCCATGCACCCATGCACCCATGCACCCATGCACCCATGCACCCATGCACCCATGCACCCATGCACCCATGCACCCATGCACCCATGCACCCATGCACCCATGCACCCATGCACCCATGCACCCATGCACCCATGCTTCCATGCACCCATGCACCCATGCACCCATGCACCCATGCACCCATGCACCCATGCACCCATGCACCCATGCACCCATGCACCCATGCACCCATGCACCCATGCACCCATGCACCCATGCACCCATGCACCCATGCACCCATGCATGCATCCATGCACCCATGCACCCATGCACCCATGCACCCATGCATGCATCCATGCACCCATGCATGCATCCATGCACCCATGCACCATGCACCCATGCACCCATGCACCCATGCTTCCATGCACCCATGCTTCCATGCACCCATGCTTCCATGCACCCATGCACCCATGCACCCATGCACCCATGCACCCATGCACCCATGCACCCATGCACCCATGCACCCATGCACCCATGCATGCATCCATGCACCCATGCACCCATGCACCCATGCACCCATGCACCCATGCACCCATGCACCCATGCACCCATGCACCCATGCACCCATGCACCCATGCACCCATGCACCCATGCATGCATCC